TATCCTAATATAAGTACCGAACTTACTTTATATTCCAGCTACTTAGTCAATCTACTATTCTACTGCAGTGTTTCTCAAATTTGAATACACAATCCATTGTGAGACTGGAGAATGTTCGCGAACCCCTTGGGCCACAAAAAGAAAAAAGTTTTACAATATAATTAAAAGTCATTGAGAAGCTCCCAAATTTTTTAAATTATACTCAAATGATCTGGTACAATTGAAAATTGTTCTGTTGTATGAGCGTAATGTTTGGAAGCATACATATAAACTGGATGATTATACACAATTATCCCGATGCTCTCACAGTTAATTAGCTTTTAAGCTAACCGGGTCACTCCCAACGGCCGAGGTCAGGGACTGGTTACCGAAGTACACTCATATCATCCAATTATCTAACTTATTAAAATTAAAAAGAGTAAAATTATAAGTAGAGCATTGTCGGTTTGCTCACGATTGGTTTTGTTTCTTCATGAATTAGATTAACTCTCAAATTTGCCTTCATTAGAAGACTTATGCTGTCTTTAGGATAATACTTGTTTTGCAGCAAATTTTTACTATTGAACAATGTGCAATTTAAATTTCTATACCTACTACTGTCGATGAACCTATCGATGTCAACGCCATTGATAGAATTGAGATATGCCAGGTACCAAAAAAGGCGCGAACTATTTTCGAGTATAAAATATAGCCCATAGCGCGTTTTGCCTTAACTAGACGGATTTATTCAATTATTTATTTTAGGTTAGTTAATATTGTTAATACAAACTGAATTACAATTATTTAATGTGAACCAAAGGACCACGAAAGATAATCTCGATCTACCCTGGCTTAAGGGTAAGGGACGGTGTTGGTTTCGGTCCATATCTTTCCCATCTCAGTATTTAATATGAAGTCTAATCCCCGGTTTTGGGCACGCGAGGATAAAGCTGATTTGTAAGGTAAAGAGCGAAAAACAAAGACAAATTTTTATATGTTCTCTATTTATACATTTTTCGACTTGTATAATCTGTAAAACTTTTTTTAGTTTTACTAGCAAATAAGCCCTTCTAGACGACTGAAACTTTTTAAGAAATTTCCTTACCAACAGTGAACATCGCGTCGAAATTCGTTGCTTGGTTTCGAGTTGAAAGCTATACCTTAAGGAATGATAAAGTTGGAGATCGACTTTTATACTGATTCCAAAATAGTCCTATTAATATTATAAAGGCGAAAGTTTGTAAGTATGGATGTATGGATGTTTGTTACTCTTTCACGAAAAAACTACTGGACGGATTTGGATAAAACTTTACAGCAATATAGGTTATACATCAGAATAACACATAGGGTACTTTTTACTGGGAAAACTTCTCACTCCCACGGGATACCGACTTCCACGCGGACGAAGTCGCGGGCGTCCACTAGTCTTACATATAATAGTGCATATTAATGAGTATTTAATACAAGACGAAATGTAATAACACGACTCCATACCGTAAACAACGGTCGTTATAAAGATTACTGTCCATTAATCATTTTACAACACACCTGTTTAAGTGCCATCTCGATTGCCATTCAAGTAAACTTAGCAAATGATATGCTGAGAATGACTGGCGAGATCATAAACTATCATTATAACACCATAAAGTTTTAGATTTAATCTTATTAGATACCATTAGAATAACTTCCTAACCTATTCCGTTACATTTATCGGATTTCTCCGTACGTAATATATATCTAACACATTCCCCGGACGGGTGCTACGTTGAAAAAATTACAACTTCCCCACGCTAGCGTCAATACTAATCAATACTGGCAGATACTTTTGTTAGGAACTATTTATAACTTTTACAATTAGTTGACTACGAAATTATGGAAGCACAAGGATAAATAATTTTTTTTTGTTAAATCTGGTACTAATAATATGTGTTGAGGACAGCAAAGGAAACGGCGGGTTGGGGAAGTAATAGGAAATATATTTATAAATTTTACAATATAAAACGACAGAAAATTATAACAGAAGAAAAAAATTGCAAGTGACAAGAATAGAGTTAAGAGCGAAGCATAGATAATTTAATAGAGTATATAATACAGTATTAATAAAAATAAGGTCTGTCTCGCACAATATGAATTTAACTATCTGCTCTTACAAGTATATTAATAGGATATTCATAAGGGATAGGATCCCTATTTTTTAGTATTACTGATGAGGAAGCAAATTAACTTAAGTAAATTAAGTAATATCTGCCAAAAATCTGTCTTGAAAAGAAACAAAGGGAAATTAATGGAGTAATTAATGCGAAATATGGCTACGAATTATTAAACTATGAAAGCGAGATGATAACGGAAAAGATGTGGCCGTAAAATTATGCTTATTAACTTTTATATTGAAATAAAACGAAAACATGTCGTATACCTACTTGATAAGAAAATTGTGATATGAAAACTTGCTAAAACTTGCTTGCGTAAATATTTACAGTGCTTTTTTTTTTTGCGAAACACAAACAGGAATAGTACACTATGTAGTGCAGAACAAAGAGTTTTCACTGTGATCAGACTAGTGCAAGTCATTACACGGTCCGCGGGCATCGCCGGCCGGTGACTCACCTGCAACTGTTCTCTATTCGGCTGTTTCCATTGTGTCACGGGAAAAATACCGGCACTATAATGTTGGGGTATCGTTTGCTAAACTGTTATGCCGGAAACAAGCAATATTATATAAGTCCACGTGTTTCTGGTAGAGTCGTATTCTATCTTCTTTTCTACTACATATCATAAATGTACATACACATATTTCACGCTCATTGAGTTTTTTTAGTTTGAGTTTTCGAAAAAAATAAAATATAAAAACTCCTTGGACATATGACCTAAAACAAAGAATTAAATAAAAATAAGGAATCCTATTTCAGCTTAGACTCGATAGTAAAGTTTATCACATAAAGTTATGTTTCAAGGGTTTGTAGGGGAAGTTTGGCACCATTCGTACACGGGGAACCTTCATACAGTCACTACTACATCTTGTAGAAAAGCCTCTTTATTACGACTTTGTGTTAGTGGATAGGCACTGGCGACTGCCAGTTGTCCACGAAGTTAGCCACACATGCAGCCACTGCGAGCGAAACTAGAGAACTTAAAGTGTTTTGGCATGCTCATAGTAAATATTTTGTTAATGTTTTTGGATCTTCCGTGCTTTAATCATACGTCAAATTTTATTGGATTATTATTTAATCGTAAGTAAATACGATTAAGATAATAATATATATCCATATTGTGTATTTTTCTACGTGGGTTTTGTGTTAGAAAAAATAATTTTATTATTGATCTTCGGGGCACGTTCGTACATATCCAGAAAGGGCACATTCGTACACGTATGTGTGTACCCCCGCTAACAATTTTTATTATTATATCAGAAAATTTAGAAAAAATTTTTCGGAATTTTAAGAAGAAAAAGCAGACACGTTCCCAATATTAATTAAATGAGTTTTCTTGCGTCTGTAAAAGGTGTTTTTAAATAGTAAAAAAAAAATATTTTACTGAGCCAATTGAAAAAGTTCATATACACATTTCGGACTCACAATATTGGAAGTCACAACACTATCAAATGATTATGATAAAGTTTTGAAATATGAATGTTTGCAAAATTGTTATGGAACTGGCTTCGCTGATATAGAATGGATGCACGGTTTTCGTTAAAAGATAGTTAGATTCTAAGCCTATTAGTCCTATAGTTTATTACATCGTCGATAAGTTTAAGATTAATGAAAACGATTTTTTTTATTCATTTGTTGTTTTACTTAATATATATGAAGTTACCACACTATCTGAATGTTCCCCGGCCCATGTACGATTGTACCCCTTAATAGGGGTAGATTCGGACATTTCATTAGCTTTTAGTAAAATTCAATCCTTTGATATATTATACAAGATATCGACTTTGAACTTTTTAAATAAGGAGCTGAAAGTATGCTTTATGTTTTAATAAGTAATTGAGTAATTTATCTTTGATTATCAATATTTTAAAAATCATTGACTAAAAAGTGTACGAATGGTCCCAATCTTCCCCTATAATTACTACAAGAGTAGATCCTCTCCTTATAATTTATTCTGTTGTTTTGATTAAATTCTCTTAGGGGCCGTCCATTCATGACGTGAGGCTAGAAATGGTGGGAGGGGGTTCATTAACAATCACGGAATATCATAAGGGGGGGTGTAGTAATATTTCACGTGTATTTATTTTTCCCAAACACGCTATTACTAAACCGAAAAGTCGTTAAAAAATAAGATTTTTTGTGATTTACACGCGTCACGTGATTTAGTCTTAAACCTCACTATGTATCACTAATGGGGAGGGGGGGTTAAAATATGTTGAAACGTCACATGATAAATGGACGACCCCTTAAAGAGTAAAATAAAAATGACTGTGGAATATCATATAAGAATCTCTGAAGTCAATGGAAATGATTTGGAGACCAAATGGCATGCCGAATTTCCTCGGAAGCTTCTGTGGTAGTTTTGTCTCCATTACATGAATCGTAAAATTTCTGCTGTAGTTTTAAAATCGTATTCAGATTTGCGCTACGTGTGTAAGCTTTATGTTTTAAGCTGGTAACTAATGTCATTATTGAGGTATGCATCGATTATAAAAAATCAAATTGAGTTTATATGTATTTGTGCTACACATAAAACGTATACTAAAAGGGGTTCCAAGTAACAGGAAGTGTTGCTCCTGGAGCCGGTTTGGTGTCAGGTGTGGAAAGCACCTGACATTTCTCTTAATGAAATATATTACGATAATTTTAAATGTGTTTTCACGTAATCTTGCATAATCGTTTCAAATAGAAAATGAGACATTAAGACAAACTTTTAAGTATATATATGCAAAAAATGTTACTAACTTCTCTTGCAACGCTACCTGTTTTCCAACAGTCCTTTATTGAGTGCAATAACAAATCCACAAAATTAAAATACGCTTATCTCCACGTCACGTGCGAACTTTTCTTTCTAACACCCCTCCCGTCCCTTGGTGCTGATAACCGTGCAGTGCGCGGCGCGAGCGCAACTGCCAACTCAGTCCCCTCTCGGTTGTCGTGTGGAATGGACGTATTGTCGTTCACAATATCGGTTATTCAAAAAATCTCAGTGATGTGATAGACGAACGTGAAATGTGTAGGTGAATGAGTGCCTAGAATTTCCGTATATTTAATGTGTTCGAGGGATGCTGTCTATGCGGAGATCTTACCTATACCGTTGTGTCGCGCTCCGATGATTCGGTTAATAACTCGTAGATCTACAGTGACTGTGTAATAGTGGCTTTGCTAAGATTTAGCGCCGTGGAAAGTTCACTTACCTTGGAACGGGTAACATTTTTACGAAGGAGTTTCACGAAGTTTGCTACAATCATTCTTCAGATTTTGTGTTTTATATTTTTAATTTTCCAATAGCATATTACTTTACTTTTTGATATCTGGTAGATTGATGTATTTGTTGGGTTGAGTGTAGTATGTTTTATCTATCGATCTAAATGCCGCCAGTTTGATAGCATTTTTTTCTCTCTTTTTGCTTTTCCTTTTCTTTTGTTTTTTATTTCGTTCGATTGACAAACTTATTCTTTATTCTCTTATTTCGTTTTAATTATAAAACCTATATTAGCAATGTTGACATGACACTAACCTTGAGCTGACATATAATACGACGATAAAATAACTCGGCTAGATAGTGTAACGTAATGAAAAAAAGTCTTAATAGATAAAATCTGTTTACTGTGTAAAACAAGGCAGAGTGTGCAAAGCAGCAATTATAGTTATGCTTGATAGATCGTCGTTTTCCAGCGGTTAGAAGGTTTTGTTCAGGCCAAGTGAAACGGTGGCAACTGGACCTTGATTTCCGGAGTTGCAACAGACAATTCAACTGCGATTAAATAAAACGGAACCAAGTCACAGACTCACGGCTGTTTCACAAAGGATATCATAATCGGAGACCAGTTAATTGGGTGTTCTATGTTAGCGACGATTGATCGTTCATTATTTCATTTACCATAGCGAACTACAGAATTTAATTTATAAAAATAAGCGTGTTCCCAACTGACAGCTTCAAACTTCAAAGGCTGTTGATATCTTACGTTTTTGTATGGTCTAAATACTTGTAATACGGTAAGTATGTATAGAGATTGTATGAAAAAACATGTTTACTGCACGTGTAATGATTTCATAGTAATCGTTCATTATCGTAATTGTGAGTGTCCGCTTTAAGTTTTAAAATTGCGACCACCAATCTTTGTACAGTCAAGGTCTGACCGAATCAAGTTTGGGTTAATACAGTGTCGATTTGGCATTGTTCTTGCCGGTTCGCTTCACGATCATATTCAGCGGTGTATTGTCAGTTTCTAATTATTTTACATCATCGAAATTTTGTTCTTCAGCATACGATTCTTTATTGTCTAATTATTCGTTTTACATTTTCGTTTTCGTTACATTGTCGTGTCATTTTCTTAGACTGATAATTGCGGAATAGTGTTGAATATTTTGCGGAAATTATAAGTATCTAATAATCGTTATGTAAACCAAATTAATGCTTTCTGTGGAAGAATCGTTATTTTCATTGCATAAGTTACAATTCCAACTTATTTAAGCTAGAGTTGGTAGATACCAAAAGTTTGATTAGTAAGACAAGTGCTGGGTGACAGTGGCCGTGATTTAAAAATTAATATACAAAAATAAAAACAATAACTAGAAAAGGCAGTGGTGCAACTATCTTCAAAAGAAACATGAATTTTAATCACATGGAGACATAAGATGACTCAACTGTTACAAAGTTTGCGCGTGTTAACGTTAAGTCACACATTATGGACAATAAAAGAATAAAAGACGTAAAATTTCAATAAAAATAAAATGTATGTTCTCGCGTCGCGGACGCCCGTATCCGAGCATATTATGTTTCTGAGCTAATATACAAACTTTCTATGCCTCCTTTCGTAATAGGAAAGTGTGGGAGTAAGAACCACTTGGATTTGGCAATGAGACATTTATAAAAGATATGCATAATTTATGATTCTGCTTAATTGCGAAGCTGTTCTGTTTCATTGTCGTTGTAAAACTTAACGTTTACCGCATCTGGTTTTTGCTCTAACATTTTAATGTTTATAGATTTTATGCTTTCACAATTTATTAGCACGGATTAGCATTTCTATTATCTATTCAATAAATGCAATTAGAATTCACGTTTTCGGCCAAGGCGTGTTGCAAAGTTTAATTTATCTAGCGAATCTGATATTTAGGTTCTACCAATAACAATATACTCGTTCCAGTTATCGTATCGACTGAGGATCGGTTATCGTTATCTAAGGACGCGATAGTTGATAACGTTGCCCGCATATCACCGAGTGATGTCATCGGCTATTGTTAAATGGTGGTTTTCCTTTTAAATGTTTCCAGTATTCTTGAATTCATAGGTCCGTCTCTAAACCTTGTTTATTAATAGCACTGTTAGGGTGTAGATTCTTTCCTTTTGCTCTATTTTCATTATTTTTGTTTGTAAGTATATTGGATTATATGTAAGAAAAGAAATTAACGTTCAAATTTCAGTTACACGCTTTTCCGCAGTTCGCTTATTTGGTTTTGTTGACTGAAAATTTGTCACAATAATGACGAGAGTTCTCATTGTGTCAAGAACTTTCTCGATGTACGAGGAATTGGTTACCGTTTTCAACGAATCTAAACTCTCTCGACGGCAAATTAAATTCCGTATAACAAAACTCTTCACTTTGTTGCTGTCACAGTAATGTAGCCAAAATTATGTTTGTCAGTTATTTTAACTACTGTACCATCAATAATTTATCTCTTTTAATACGATGTTCATAAGAAAAGCATCTTTTGTTCTTGACAGCAATAGACCCACAGTATATGTGATTTTAATATACTTTAATGATTTCAGTATTTTGTTCTGAAGTTGTCTACCTATCATCATTATCGTACTCGAAAATGAAACTTAATTCCTCCGTATTTGTTAATTATTTCACTTTATTTTTAAACTGCATAACATCGATATTGTAAAAATATTTCAAGTTGTCCTCTGAAAGGTCTGTTTTATAAGCGACCTTAACACGAATACTCGTAACAGTTATCGTGTCAGTATTCTTGTTATTATTGTACCTAGCAAGTGTACTACCTGTTTATATGGTCGTAGCCGATTTATTGTCAAGGTGACAACGGTAATTTTTTACTGACACATTAATGACAGTTTAAATAATTAAACGAATAACCACATGTTGATCGTTGGTTAAATTCTCCAAGTTGAGTATTTTAATATAATGTCATTTTGAGTTACGTTATAAACTGTAGATTTAAAATTTTCATTTACACAAATTGATATGGAAAATAATTGTGTTTTGTTAGATTACCTAAATATTGTTGGTAATACACTCGATTAAGGTTTAATAACGCCTTTAAACTCTAATGACTGTCAAATTAGTATCGGTAATATCGCTTTAAATTAATGTCAATTATAATGGAAGTTTGTGCATCTGGCTGTGAGACTGTTGAGGTCAACAAGTATTTTTTTCTGTAAGAACAAAATACTTTGAAAGATTCTTTTCAATGATTGTACAGAAGTTATTGATGTGATATTATATACATTACTACTACATCGATTTGTTCTGTGAATGAGGCAGTATCATACGAGCAATATTTTTTTTTATTTACTAACTCAAAAGTTGACTAAAACCATTCATTTAATAATTTAAAATCTACTAATTTACTATAGAACCAGTATTCCATCGTAAATAAATCAAACAAAGGCGTCTAGGCACCGGTCGTACTTGTGCCAGTTAGTCGATAAACAGACAAACAGTTGCACACACCTTTATTATACAAATATGTCGTATTCCTAAATTACTGAGAAACTGTGCGTGTTATTGAATACTGGTAATTATTTACCCAGTTCTTTAATGTATTTAATATTACGACCATCAAAATATAGCTTAATTTTCATAGAATTTACATTACTGCTTCTGCTGGTTAGGTTATTTCTTCAAATACAACCGATATATTCAAAAATCTCTCGAAATTATTACCAAGATGTCTTTTTGGCTGACAAGAATATTGAGCTCCAGACACTTATCAGGCTTTTAATAGCAGAGTAAAGTAACCTTTAGCATTAAATTATCCAGCACAAATATCAAATTTGGAATATCATGTCACCTTTACAGAGGTACTAGTGTCATGAAAATATAAAAAAAGGACATTCATTGTCTTTGCGTATTGAATTCATACCCAACAATCTTCACGCTAATAATAAATATCATCACTGTAAATTGATGAGTTTCTTAAGCATCTTGATACCTAAAATATTTCTTCTTCAATATTTCATTACCATCATCCCACAGAAGTCCAATGTTTGACATGGGTGAGCGCCCGATATGCTCCAAATTTTTCCTGTTTTGGTCTTCTCTCTACCAACCTGTATCCGTCCTCAAATTATTGCTAGACCTAACTGGAGGGCGTTATATACTACAATTGCAGAGTCGCTGTATTCTCAGAATACGCTTGTAGATATTATAGATGAAAATGTTGTATTATTTGTCATACGGTTAGCAGACATGTAAGTCTGACATGTGGATATAACGTCAACTCATATATCTTGTACATGATTGAGGTGTACACCGGAATGTATAAACCTTATTTGATTAATAGTTTGTGTGCGGTAATGTTATTAAAGTTTATATTGTAGTGTCCACAATTGTTCTATATTAGTTTATTATGACAGTCTGTCTGTCTTTACGGTGTAACCTTGATTGCACGATGGATCACCGTTAAATATATATTTCAAGGCAAAATAGAATATTGAAACGTCTTCGCTTTGATATAACAGTATCAATGTTAAATCGTTAATGTTACTTTAACGGTAGGTAGGTAATAGATGAAATGGTTTTAGTTGAAAAAGAAGCTTTTAAAACAAGTCTGATATTATATAATCCACATAATAATCGTATGTTTTTTGATACAGCATTTGATTTTTACACTTATAACAGTCATTAAGTTTCATATATTATTTGAACACACGCCATTGTCTTTGCTACAATTCGAAGGATTATTCCTGAAAATAAGTTTTACCTAAAACTAAATCGCAGCAGTAATTAAGCAACGTTAGGGACAATACAAACAGGCCCGGTTTACTATCGCGTTGCTTATCAAACGCCCGGCTGATAACTATACGATTCCGATAGCAGCTGATTGTGGTGATAATGCAGGTGAAACGGTCGACGCCTAACACTCATGAAGATTTCATGCCAATAAGATATAATGCAACGTACAAGTTTACGTACAACTTTCAAGACGATAAAAAAACTAGAGATTGTCCTGTT